GAATCTTTACTAGGATTAAATGTCAGGAATTGTGAAAAACTGAGTAAATGTATTTGGCTAAGGTGTATGTAAACTTCCGAATTCAACTGTATGTAATGAGTCAAAAAAGTTAGTGCAAAAAGGGTCAATGCAGATAGTCCGGGTAGTTTTTGGTTAGCTATTTAGCAGTCTTATGGCTGGGAGGTAGAGGCTGTTGAGGGTCCTGTTGGTTCCAGACTTGGTGCATCGGTACCGCTTGCCGTGCGGTAGCAGAGAGAACAGTCTATGACATAGGTGGTGGGAGTCTTTGACAATTTTTAGGGCCTTCCTCTGACACCGCCTGGTATAGAGGTCGTGGATGGCAGGGATCTCGGTCCGCACTAGTCTCTGTAGCGCCTTGTGGTCGGATGACAAGCAGTTGCCATACCAAGCGGTGATGCAGCCAGTCAAGATGCTCTCAATGGTACAGCTGTATAACTTTTTGAGGATCTGTGGGCCCATGCCAAAATGTTTTAACCTCCTGAGGGGGAAGAGGCATTGTCATGCCCTCTTCACGACTGGGTTTGGACCATGATAGATCCTGAATGATGTGGACACCGAAGAACTTGAAGCTCTCGACCCGCTCCACTACAGCCCCCTTGATGTAAATGGGGGCGTGCTCGGCCTTCCATTTCCTGTAGTCCATGATCAGCTCCTTTGTTTTGCTGACGTTGAGGGAGATGTTGTTGTCCTGGCACCACACTGCCAGGTCTCTGACCTCCTCCCTATAGGCTGTGTCATCGTCGTCGGTGATCAGGCCTACCACCGGCGTGTCGTCTGCAAACTTAATGATGGTGTTGGAGTCGTGCGTGGCCACGCAGTCGTGGGTGAACAGGAAGTACAGGAGGGGACTAAGCAATCACCCCTGAGGGGCCCCTGTGTTAAGGGTCAGCCTAGCGGATGTGTTGTTGCCTACCATCACCACCTGTGGGCATCCCGTCAGGAAGTCCAGGATCAAGTTGCAGAGGGAGGTGTTCAGTCCCAGGGTCCTTAGCTTAGTGATGAGTTCGGAGGGCACTATGTTGCTGAACGCTGAGCTGTAGTCAATGAATAGCATTCTCATGTAGGTGTTCCTTTTGTCCAAGTGGGAAAGGGCAGTGTGGAGTGCAATAGAGATTGCGTCATCTGTGGATCTGTTGGGGCGGTATGCAAATTGGAGTGGGTCCAGGGTTTCTGGGATGATGGTGTTGATGTTAGCCATGACCAGCCTTTCAAACCATTTCATGGCTACAGATGTGAGTGCTACGATGTGATAGACATTTAGACAGGTTACCATGGCTAGTCTGTTAGGCTTGCGTCACTGGGCATCTCGTGGCTGGGTTTCCCTTTGTAATCCGTGATAGTTTGAAGGCCCTGCCATATCCGACGAGCGTCAGTCAGTGTAGTAGAATTCGATATTAGTCCTGTAATGCTCTGCCTGTTTGAAGGTTAGTTGGAGAACATAGCGGGATTTCTAATACATGTCCGGGTTAGTGTCTCGCTCCTTGAAAGCGGCAGCTCTAGCCTTTAGCTCAGTGAGGATGTTGCCTGTAATCCATGGCTTCTGGTTGGGATATGTACGTACAGTCACTGTGGGGATGATGTTGTCGATGCACTTATTAATGAAGCTGGTGACTGATGTGGTAAACTCCTCAATGCCATCGGATGAGTCCCGGAAACATATTCCAGTCTGTGCTAGCGAAACAGTGCTGTAGCTTAGCATCCGCTTCATCTGACCACTTCCATGTTGAGCTGTTACTTCTTGTTTGAGTTTTTGCTTGTAAGCAGGAATCAGGAGGATAGTGTTATGGACAAATTTGCTAAATGGAGGACGAGGGAGAGCTTTGTATGTGTCTCTTTGTGTGGACTAAAGGTGATCTGGAGTTTTTTCACCTCTAGTTGCAAAGGTGACATGCTGGTAGAAATTAGGTAAGACGGATTTCAGTTTTCCTGCATTAAAATCACCAGCCACTAGGACCGCCGCCTCTGAATGAGCATTTTCTTGTTTGCTTATGGCCTTATACAGCTCCTTGAGTGCGGTCTTAGTGCCAGCATCGGTTTGTGGTGGTAAATAAACAGCCCCCCAAAAATAATGGATGAAATCTCTCTCAGTAAATTGTATGGTGTACAGCTTATCATGAGGTATTCTAACTCAGGCGAGCAGAACCTCGAGACTTCCTTAATGTTAGAGATTGTGCACCAGCTGTTGTTAACAAAGAGACACACACTACTTCCCTTGAGCTTACCCGACGCTGCGATTCTGTCCTGCCGATGCATAGAAAAACCAGTTGGAATATTATCCATGTCCTTGTTCAGCCAAGTTTCCGACCAACATAGGATATTACAGTTCTTCAGGTCCCGTTGATAGGATAGTCTCGAACAGAGCTCTTCCAGTTTCTTCTCCAGTGATTGTACAGTCGTGGTCAAAAGTTTTGAGAATGACACAAATCCTAATTTTCACAAAGTCTGCTGCCTCAGTTTTGATGATGTCAATTTGCATATACTCCAGAATGTCATGAAGAGTGATCAGATGTCCTCACGACGCCAGGACAGCGGAGTCACTCACCACCTTCCGGAGACATTTGAAAACCCACCTCTTTAAGGAATACCTGGGATAGGATAAAGTAATCCTTCTTGTAAAGTGGTTGTCCCACTGGCTATAAGGTGAATGCACCAATTTGTAAGTCGCTCTGGATAAGAGCGTCTGCTAAATGACGTAAATGTAAATGTAAATCAGATGAATTGCAATTAATTGCAAAGTCCCTCTTTGCCATGAAAATGAACTTAATCCCCAAAAAACATTTCCACTGCATTTCAGCCCTGCCACAAAAGGACCAGCTGCCATCATGTCAGTGATTCTCTCGTTAACACAGGTGAGAGTGTTGACGAGGACAAGGCTGGAGATCACTTTGTCATGCTGATTGAGTTAGAATAACAGACTGGAAGCTTTAAAAGGAGGGTGGTGCTTGAAATCATTGTTCTTCCTCTGTTAACCATGGTTAGCTGCAAGGAAACACGTGCTGTCATCATTGCTTTGCACAAAAAGGGCTTCACAGGCAAGGATATTGCTGCTAGTAAGATTGCACCTAAATCAACAATTTATCAGATCATCAAGAACTTCAAGGAGAGAGGTTAAATTGTTGTGAAGAAGGCGTCAGGGCACCCAAGAAAGTCCAGCAAGCGCCAGGACCGTCTCCTAAAGTTGATTCAGCTGCGGGATCGGGGCACCACCAGTGCAGAGCTTGCTCAGGAATGGCAGCAGGCAGGTGTGAGTGCATCTGCACGCACAGTGAGGCGAATACTTTTGGAGGATGGCCTGGTGTCAAGAAGGGCAGCAAAGAAGCCACTTCTCTCCAGGAAAAACATCAGGGACAGACTGATATTCTGCAAAAGGTACAGGGATTGGACTGCTGAGGACTGGGATAAAGTCATTTTCTCTGATGAATCCCCTTTCCGATTGTTTGGGGCATCCAGAAAACACCTTGTCCAGAGAAGACAAGGTGAGCGCTACCATCAGTCCTGTGTCATGCCAACAGTAAAGCATCCTGAGACCATTCATGTGTGGGCTCACTCACAATTTTGCCTAAGAACACAGTCAGGAATAAAGAATGGTACCAACACATCCTCCGAGAGCAACTTCTCCCAACCATCCAAGAACAGCTTGGTGACGACCAATGCCTTTTCCAGCATGATGGAGCATCTTGCCATAAGGCAAAAGTGATAAGTAAGTGGCTCGGGGAACAAAACATCGACATTTTGGGTCCATGGCCAGGAAACTCCCCAGACCTTAATCCCATTGAGAACTTGTGGTCGATCCTCAAGAGGCGGGTGGACATACAAAAACCCACAAATTCTGACAAACTCCAAGCATTGATTATGCAAGAATGGGCTGCCATCAGTCAGGATGTGGCCCAGAAATTCATTGATAGCATGCCAGGGTGGATTGCAGAGGTCTTGAAAAAGAAGGGTCAACACTGCAAATATTGACTCTTTGCATAAACTTAATGTAGTTGTCAATAAAAGCCTTTGACACTTATGGAATGCTTGTAATTATACTTCAGTAAACCATAGTAACATCTGACAAAAATATCTCATAACACTGAAGTAGCGAACTTTGTAAAGACCAATACTTGTGTCATCCTCAAAACTTTTGACCACGACTTTCCATTCGCCAATAGAACAGAGGGTTGAGGCGGATTATTTACTCCCCTCCGTAGTTTCATCAGGGTGCCCGCACGTCAGGCTCTATATCGCCGTCTCTTTCTCTTCAGAGTGTCGCCTACTCATTGAAGTAGAAATCTTCATCCAAATCGAGGTTAGAGCTAGAGCGATGTTTGTGAGACAAGGGCGGATCCCGAAAATGATTCATCTCACAAAAACGTCTGTAAAGTCTGAACAGTTTGAGCTACAAACTATTATGAGCCATCTATGAAGAGCTGAAATGCTCACGAACATGCACTGTTTGCTCTATGACAATCACAAGCCACAAAATAGTCGTTAGAAGGTAAGAGGTTATTCTACATAGAAGATCATAGGACAGGACATAGTGCCTATAATACTGTAATAAGCTCACATAGTTTCTGTCACAAACTCCAAACTCCACACAGTTGTCACTGACTACCATTTTCTTTTGCGGACAACCAGGGCTACAAGTAGAACACAAAACAATTTGACATAAACAGTTGCATTCATGAGTTTTATTGACAAATGTCAATAAACAAATAAGGTCTGCCAAGCATAAGCCTGATTAAAAAAAATAAAAAATAATAAGAATGCTGTAAATACAGAAATTGTTTGCTCAGTGGAAAAGGTAGTGAATTTCAGCTTTTTCACTGTGGGAGGCCTGGGACCAATGTAGTTAAAACGGAAATAACCTGATTCCCCAATTGTATAGGACTCAAAGCTAAAATGTATGTTTTAAATGATTTGAGAACCAAAGGACCTTGTACCTTTCTTCCTCTCTCCCTCCAACTCACCCTCCTCCCAATCTCCATGTCTGTCTCCAGCTCTGCAGTGGACTTCAGGACAGGGACCAAGGTGGCCATCAAGAAGCTCCACAGGCCCTTCCAGTCTGAGCTCTTTGCTAAGAGGGCCTATCGGGAGCTGAGGCTGCTCAAACACATGAAACATGAAAATGTAAGACTTGCAAGCCTGTAGTCCGAAAACAACCCTTATCCCATTTCATTGCACTACTTTAGTCCTTAAGGGTTGCAGTCCTCAAGGTTTTTTCCGCCCTGAGTGACACTTAGTAATTTCAAGCAAGTAGCCTAAGTGATTGCCTTGGGTAATCCTCTCCACACACAGTCTCTGATTAAATGGCAAGGATGAAAACCAGAGAGGCCCTCGAAGACCAGAGTTGTGCATCCCTGCCCTAAAAACACTAGGCTTACTAGCAATATACTGTAAGCTAGGCCTATAGGGTGTTTGTCTTACTGTGTCTCCCCTCCAACTGCTATGTAACAACCTGATCAAAACCTAATATAAGTTGTTTATTTTCCCTCATTCTCTCCCTGGGGTTAGGTGATTGGCCTTGTGGATGTATTCACTGCTGACCTCTCCTTAGACAGATTCCATGATTTGTGAGTACACTTTTGTGTTTTCATATTTGGGCACAATAGGTCAGGAACTTCAAGTAAAGAAAATACGGAAGTTGGAGACACAATATCCACATTCCACACCACTGGATGTTTAGCAAAGTCAAAGTTCCATCTTTCCTCTCCATGTTGGTTGGTCATTGCGAAGATATGTAGACATTTAGTCTCTCTGTCTGTCTCTCTCTCTCGCTCTCTCGCAGCTATCTGGTGATGCCTTTCATGGGAACCGATCTGGGGAAGTTGATGAAGTTACAGCAGCTCTCAGAGGACAAAGTACAGTTCCTGGTCTATCAGATGCTGAAGGGACTCAAGGTGTGTCTCACAGCCACACACAATCTCATAAATACTTATATACATACATGTATATAAATATGTATACACCCTGATATTGTATTTTATTGATGGAAATGCCTGTTGTATTATTTTATTACAGTATATCCATTCTGCTGGCATAATTCATAGGGTAAGTGAATCTCCTTTTTCCTGTGTGTGTTTGTGTGTATGTGTGTGAGTGTGTGTGTGTGTGTGTGTGTGTGTGTGTGCATGCATGCGTGAGTGCCTTTGTCATGCAAGTGTGTGTGCATGTGTGTGGCCCCTCAAAATGACCCACTTAATGTTTGTATCTGCAGGACCTCAAACCAGGGAATCTGGCCGTTAACCAGGAATGTGAGCTCAAGGTACACAGTCACACACCCAGTGCTCTGATAACCTAAATAAACTTTCCACTGTGTTCAGCTCCACTGTCAATAACTCAGTCTGTGGCTTAAAGATGCACTCCAGGATCTTAAGCACAACAAATTCATAACATATAGTACGAATTGGATTCGTAACATATTATACGAATTGCACACAAAAAAACAGGGACAACTTTTGGCTCGTGAGCACCACTTTCAAAACTACTGGCTGAAATTATACAAAAGCTCAAGAGTGCATCTTTAATAGCCTTTGCACAGACCAACAGACAACATTTCTCTCTGTTGACTTTGTTGTCATGGTTTGCTGCATGAGCACAGTTTGGCAGCAATAATGACTTCCATTGTATTTTGTAGTGTTATAGCTGGTATGATGTAGGTACAACGGTATAGTGCTGTCATGAAATGTCCCATTGATGTGCAATTGATTACTGGGACTGAGCTATTTTGAAGGATGTTTTACTTATAATGATTGTGATACGTGGTTGTTTTACCTACCTTAGTTGAATGCAGAGAGCATCTGCTTAATGACTAAAATGCTAATGTAATGTCCAGTAATAATAAGAGTGTGTTGTGTCTGTGTCAGATCCTGGACTTTGGGTTGGCGCGGCAGGCAGACAGTGAGATGACAGGCTATGTGGTGACGCGCTGGTACAGAGCCCCAGAGGTCATCCTCAGCTGGATGCACTACACCCAGACTGGTCAGCAGCACACCACGCAACACTCCTCTTAACTGGTCCAGGATCAGATATGTTGTTAAGCCACTGATGGTTAAGGCTAATACTGGAATACAGACAACTGATCTTGGATCAGCTGTTTTATAAGGATGTAAATTCATCTGAGTGGTCTGCATAGATGACAGAGTCAACTGAATGCATTGAAGCCTATGGAGAATAGTAGAATGTCCACAAGGTGGTGCTCTAGCCTGTATATTTTGCCTAGTGATAAATGCACTTCAACATGGTTCTATCAGATTTAAACGCCAGCCATGTTAATGGAGGTCCTTTCTATCAGTTAACAGTATTCTCTCCCTTTCCTCTCTTCCTAGTGGACATCTGGTCTGTGGGCTGCATCATGGCAGAGATGCTGTCAGGGAAACCACTGTTCAAAGGCAATGACCGTATCCTGATCTGACCTGCCCCTGAGCCCTCATATCCACTGTTGCACAATACACAAATGAAACTCTATTACTGTGGTTAATGTTGTTTATGTTGGAATCATGCTTGCTTCCATTCTTACTTTTCGGTTTGACTGACTAGAACCAGATTATACCCTTAACATGGCCAGGTGGTTTTGTTTCACTTTCACTCTAGATGCAATGTGTTTCTCAATGAGGATATGTTCAGTATATCATTTGTATGTAGTTTGACCTTTGATCCTTGACCTGTGGAGCACAGACCTGGATCAGCTGACTGAGATCATGAAGATCACAGGGACACCCACTCAGGAGTTCATCACCAAACTGCAGTCTCAGGACGTGAGTAATGTACTTACATGCCAAACACATACTATAGGTCTACATGCACATAGGCCCTGATTAAATATGCTGACATTCTGTTTCTCAGGCTAAAAACTATGTCAAAAGCCTTCCCAAAGTGCAAAAGAAAGACCTTCAGGCGCTCTTTTCCAAAGTCAACCCACAGGGTAAGACTATCACCATCATATGTCATGTATAGTGAATCTGCAGTATCCCATCGTCATGACAATGTCTACTGTTCCTATGTCTGCTGTCTTTATCTCTCTGTTTAGATGTATGCATTCCCTCTCTTAGGTGTATTGAGACTCTGATGATGCACTTTAAATTAAATTTGACTTGATTTTATTCTATATCTCCCTTCCCCTTCATCTCCAGCGGTGACAGTTATAGAGCGCATGCTGCTGCTGGACCCAGAGAGTAGGGTGACGGCGGCAGAGGCCCTCGCCCTGCCATACTTCTCAGAGTACAGAGAGCCAGAAGAGGAGACTGAGGCCCAGCCATACGACCACTCTGTAGACAACTCTGACCTGCCTCTGGAGCAGTGGAAACGTAAGGAGGAGGGGAAGGCTGGGACAAAACCCAGGGTTTATTCATTAGGCTCCAAATGGAAGAAAATGTACTGAAACAGGGAGGATTACCTGGACTTGTCCATTAGAAGCGCTCGTTTTCTGTTGCAAAACGTTTTGCTACTGTGTGCCCTAATGAATACGATCCCAGGACAGAGGTGAGGAGGTGTCAACAGGGACCAGTTTGTTTTCATTGGTTAACATTATAACATTAAACCACTATTTAAGGCATTTTTAAAGGATATCCAGACAAGTTCTTGTTTGGTATGACAGAGTCAGGCCTCTCTGGAACAGGGACTTACATTTGCTATATGTGTTGCTGATGGTTTTTACAATGAGCTACTGCAATACGCATATTTTCAGGATTTCATTCTCTTCCATGAATTGCAATGATAGCCTTCTGTATGTAAACACTGACATGTTATGTATCTGTCTTCTCTTTCTCTCTTCCTCCTTCTGTTTGTTTACAGGTCACACGTTCACAGAGATCCTGTCATTCCAGCCCATAGTGGTAGAGTCCAGGGAAACCGCACTGTAAGATGAAGCATCGCACATGGAAAACAACCCCCCTCCCACCATTTTTACAAGTGTGTCATCCTCTGTTCAATCAACATTCTCAGTCCATCATGTTGTGTGTGTGTGTGTGTACTTTTTCAGACATTTTCACACCACTGTGTTGTTGCGTCCTATATAAAGCCCTTGTCAAGACATATTTGACAAAAAGGATGTTTCCTTGTGTATGTAGCTGTGTAGTCTAAATGTGTCTGTGACCACTACTGATGTTTCCTCAACCTTATAATTCCCTCTTATTGCCTTAATGATAGAACAATAGCATACAGCCAAACAACATCTGAAAACCATTTACTAAACGGTACGCACAAAAGCAGTATTTCACATTCTTTTTGTGCCAAGGAATGCACACACATAAAAAACATTTGTAGCCTGTAAAATGTTGCGCAAAAAAACAGTTTGTATATTTGCCATTTACTGTAATTTTCCTTACACTGGATATGTATTTTTTATTAACTCATTTGTTCCAGAAAATTCTATGCAAATCTTATGCCATTAGGCTACTAACCCTAATATGTAATCCATATTGCTTTTTTTTTATGTATTGAAAAGTAAGTTTTATTTTCGGTCACAAGGGAACATACAGTGAGTGCTCTGCCTATAATAAAACAAGGCAACAATAAACATGTCGTCCCCCATGAATGATGCAGCGCCCCCCAAATTGGGATATCGCGTGTACCCACAGATTATCCATTATTGACCAGATACTCAAGTGGCCGCTCTAACAATGAAAATCAATGTCTTCAAAAATGGAAGGCAGTTAGCCTGGGTACCAGTCCAGGTCTTGACATTCAGGTACATTTGCCAGTGGCACACCAGGATCACAGCAAAGCAAGTTATATTCAATTGTTGGTGATTTCATGTTTCATTTGCAGTCTGGACAAGTGTCATATATTATAGCCAGCCATAAAATCGGATATTTACACTGATTGTTTGGAAAACCAAAATAAAACCATCCCCCCTCTCAATGTTGACATATAGCTTATATTAAACTGTTTAAAATGTAATGTTCCCCTCTAGAAATGAGCCCAATAACATATTGATGAAAAGCAATATCTTTAGGTACATAGTCCTCAGGCAGGTGTGCTATTTTAGCAATAAGCATTGTCACCTGTCTGATGCAGCATCGTGTCTAAATGGCTGAAGCAATGGGGTTGCTCCTCTGCATTGTTTACCACAGTGGGCTAATCATTAGCTAGATAACGGACTCTAAATATGATCTTGTTGCTTGTTTAATGTCCTAAAAAGAACTCCCACTGGCACTAATAAAATCATGGGATTTTTACAGTGTTTAATACAGTGTAATTGTGTATTTACAGTGAATAATAGGTCTACCATTTATGCATTGGAATGGCTGACACGCTTCCCGTGGTTACTTTTTTAAATTGTCATGCCAGACACTCAAGATTGTAAAACGCTGCCAATTGAAAAATAAATCATACAGCACTGGAAAGCTGGGATTCCGCTCTGTTCAATAATTGCCATCAAAACAGTTGTATTTGACTGAGATTGCATTTAGAAATGTTGCACAGTGACTGGGATTATTACAGTACACAGTATTGCGGCACAACCGGCATTCAAGATTGGTAAAATAGGTACTACTATTATTTCACATTTCCCACCAACACTGCAGAATGTAACAAGGTGGTCTTGATTTACCTTTCCTGACCTCTAGGATCCTACAGTATGTCCCCTCAAGTACCAGTGACGCACTCAGTACGGAAGTGGTCTGATGAAGCAGACACGAGGCTACATGACAGTTTTTCTAGTACAGACTGGGATATGTTCTGTGATTCATCCGATAGCATTGACGAGTTTACCACATCAGTCATGGGCTTCATCAATAAGTGTATAGACGACGTCGTCCACATAGTGACCGTACGTAGATATCCAAACCAAAAACCATGGATTACAGGCAATTTCCACGCTGGCCTAAAGGCTAGAGCTACCGCTTACAAGGAACGGGACACGGACATGGCACATACAAGAAAGCCAGTTATGACCTGCGACGAGACATCAAACATGCAAAAGGACAATACGGGAGGAAGGTGGAATCTTATTACACCGGCTCCAACGCTCGTCGTATGTAGCAGGGGTTGCAGATGGATTACAAAGGGAAACCTGTGAGATGCCCAGTGATGCAGAACTCCAAAATGAGCTAAATGCCTTTTATGCTCGCTTTGAGGAATATGACACTGAGTCTTGCGTGAAAGCCTCTATTGTTCCAGATGACTGTATGATCTCGCTCTCCGTGGCCGATGTTTGTTAAAACTTTTAAACAGGTTAATACTCACAAGGCCGCCGGAATACCTGGGTACGTTCTCAAAGCATGCGCAGACCAGCTGGCAAGTGTCTTCACTGACATTTTCAATCTCTCCTTGTCCCAGTCTGTAATCCCAAAGTTTCAAGCTGACCATTATTGTCCCTGTTCCCATGAACTCCAAGGTAACCTTCCTAAATGACTATCGCCCTGTAGCACTCACATCTGTAATTATGAAGTGCTTTGAAAGGCTGGTCATGACACACATCAACACCATCATCCCAGACACCCTGGACCCACTCTAATTCGCATACCGCCCCAACAGATCCACAGATTACACAATCTCAATTGCACTTCACACTGCCCTCTCCCAACTGGACAAGAGGGGAAATAACTACAGTGCCCTCCACAATTATTGGCACCCCTGTTTAAGATGTGGTCGAGGACTTCCAAAAATTATCCTTTTTTTTTAAACAACATAGAACCCAAATGCAAAAAAAAAGAAAAATCCAACCTTTTATTTAAGTACATTACTTTGGTGTAAAAAAAAAAATCACACATTTAGAAAAAAAAAAACTTTAAATCATGTGTCCCACAATTATTGGCACCCCTGATGTTAATACTTTGTACAACCGCCTTTTGCCAACAAGACAGCACTTAATCTCCTCCTATAACATTTCACAAGATTGGAGAACACAGAGAGAGGGATCTTTGACCATTCTTCTTTGCACAATCTTTCTAGATCATCCAGTGTCCTGGGTCCTCTCTTATGCACTCTCCTCTTTAGCTCGCCCCACAGGTTTTCGATTGGGTTGAGGTCTGGGGACTGAGATGGCCATGGGAGGACCTTGAGTTTGTGACTGCTGAACCATTTTTGTGTAGATTTTGCCACATGTTTTGGATCATTATCCTACTGAAAGACCCAATGACGACCCATCTTCAGCTTTCTGGCAGAGGCCATCAGGTTTTTATTTAAAATGTCCTGGTAGTTCAAAGCGTTCATAATGCCATGCACCCTAACAAGGTTCCCAGGGCCTTTGGAAGAGAAACAGGCCCACAGCATCACAGATCCTCCACCATACTTCACGGTAGGCATGAGGTGCTTTTCGGCATACTCATCTTTTGTTTTACGCCAGACCCACTTAGAGTGTTTGTTGCCAAAAAGCTCAATCTTAGTCTCATCTGACCAAAGCACACGATCCCAGTTGAAGTCCCAGTGTCGCTTAGCAAACTCCAGACGTTTACGTTTGTGAGTGTTAGTGAGAAAAGGCTTTTTCCTTGCATGCCTCCCAAACAGCTTGTTGGCATGTAGAGAGCGTCTGATGGTTGTTTTGGAGACTTTGTGACCCCAAGATGCCACTCTTTGATGCAATTCTGTGACAGTGAGCTTAGGACTTTTTTTTACTTCTCTTACCATCCTCCTCACTGTGCGTTGTGGCAAGATAAACTTGGGACCTCTTCCAGCCTTGTTTGTCACTGTTCCAGTTGTTTTAAACTTCTTAATGATTCCTCTGACTGTAGATACGGGCAAGTTAAGGCGAGTGGCTATTTTCTTGTAGCCATTGCCTGACTTATGAAGGTCGACACAAATCTGCCTTACTTGAATGGTGTGTTCTCTTGTCTTTGCCATGTTGACAAATGGGTAAGAGAATTAGGCCTCTGTGTCACGTCATATTTATACCCCAGGGAAACAGGAAGTCATGTATTACTAATTAAAAGTTCCTAGATACCCTGACCAACTTTAGCAACTACAGAAAAATATATTTTTAAAAAAATCAATTAAAATTTTCAGCGGAATTGTTAGGGGTGCCAATAATTGTGGGACACATGATTTCAAGTTTTTTTTTTCTAAATGTGTGATTTTTTTTTTTACCACCAAAGTAATGTACTTAAATAAAAGGTTGGATTTTTCTATTTTTTTGCATTAGGCTTCTATGTTGTTTAAAAAAAAAGGAGAATTTTTGGAAGTCCTCGACCACATCTTAAACAGGGGTGCCAATAATAGTGGAGGGCACTGTATGTGAGAATGCTGTTCATAGACTACAGCTCAGCATTTAACACCATAGTCCCCTCCAAACTCATCACCAAGCTGGGGACCCTGGGACTGAACACCTCTCTCTGCAACTGGATCCTGGACTTCCAGATGGGTCAGCCTCAAGTGGTGAGGTCAGGCAACAACACCTCCGCTTCTACCCCCAAGCCATAAGACTGCTAAATTGCCATAAGACTGACTCTATGCACACTCACAAGACTATATACTGTATACACACTATATACACACTCACTCACACACTACACTGACACTCTCACACAAAACCCACACACATTCACATACACTACATACGCATACCGACACACATCATATGCTGCTACTCTGTTCTTTATTTTACTCTTATTATTATCTATCCTGATGCCTGTTCACTTTACCCTGCCTTCATGTACATACAGTGCACTCGGAAAGCATTCAGACCCCTTGACTTTTTCCACATGTTGTTACATTACAGCCTTTTTCTAAAATTGATTAAATTGTTTTCCCCCCTTCATCAATCTACACACAATACCCCATAAAGACAAAGCAAAAACAGGTTTTTAGAAATGTTGGCAAATTTATTCCGACCTTTTACTCAGTACTTTGTTGAAGCACTTTTGGCAGCGATTACAGCCTCGAGTCTTCTTGGGTTTGACGATACAAGCTTGGCACACCTGTATTTGGGGAGTTTCTCACATTATTCTCTGCAGATCCTCTCAAGCTCTGTCAGGTTGGATGGGATGCGTCACTGCACAGCTATTTTCAGATCTCTCCAGAGATGTTTGATCGTGTTCAAGTCCAGGCTCTGGCTTGGCCACTCAAGGACATTCAGAGACTTGTCCAGAAGCCACTCCTGCGTTGTCTTGGCTGTGTGCTTAGGGTTGTTGTCCAGTTGGAAGGTGAACCTTCTCTCCAGTCTGAGGTCCTGAGCGCTCTGGAGCAGGTTTTCATCAAGGATCTCTCTGTACTGTGCTCTGTTCATCTTCCCCTCGATCCTGGCTAGTCTCCCAGTCCCTGCCGCTGAAAAACATCCCCACAGCATGATGCTGCCACCACCATGCTTCACCGTAGGGATGGTGCCAGGTTTCCTTCAGATGTGACTTTTGACAATCAGGCCAAATAGTTTTCATCAGACTGGAAAATCTTTAGGTGCCTTTTGGCAAACTCCAAGCGGGCTGTAATGTGCCTTTTTCTGAGGAGTAGCTTCCATCTGGCCACTCTACCATAAAGGCCTGATTGGTGGAGTGCTGCAGAGATGGATGTCCTTCTGGAAGGTTCTCCCATCTCCACAGAGGAACTCTGGAGCTCTATCAGAGTGACCATCGGGTTCTTGGTCAACTTCCTGACCAAGGCCCTTCTCTCCCGATTGCTCAGTTTGGCTGGGCGGCCAGCTCTAGGAAGAGTCTTGGTGGTTCCAAACTTCTTCCATTTAAGAATGATAGAGGCCACTGTGTTCTTGGGGACCTTCAATGCTGCAGGCATTTTTTAGTACCCTTCCCCAGATCTGTGCCTCGACACAATCCTGTCTCGGAGCTCTACGGACAATTCCTCCGACCTCATGGCTTGGTTTTTGCTCTGACATGCACTGTCAACTGTGGGACCTTATACAGTGGCTTGCGAAAGTATTCACCCCCCTTGGCATTTCTCATATTTTGTTGCCTTACAACCTGGAATTAAAATGGATTTTTGGTGGGTTTGTATCATTTGATTTACACAACATGCCTACCACTTCGAAGATGCAAAATATTTTTTATTGTGAAACAAACAAGAAATAAGACAAAAAAACAGAAAACTTGAGCGTGCATAACTATTCACCCCCCAAAGTCAATGCTTTGTAGAGCCACCTTTTGCAGCAATTACAGCTGCAAGTCTCTTGGGGTATGTCTCCGCCCCATCACCGTCCACCCCTCCTCTCCTCTACCGCCCCATCACCGTCCACCCCTCCTCTCCTCTACCGCCCCACCACTGACCACCCCTCCTCTCCTCTACCGCCCCACCACCGACCACCCCTCCTCTCCTCTACCGCCCCACCACCGACCACCCCTCCTCTCCTCTACCGCCCCACCACCGACCACCCCTCCTCTCCTCGATAACCCACCGCCTACACCCCACCGACCACCCCTCCTCTCCCCTACCCCCCACCCTACCACCCCCCCACACACCCACCACCCCCCCCTCCTCCCACCCCTCCTCTCCCTACCCCACCCACCACCACCTCCCTCTCCTCTCCCCCACCTACCACCCCCCCTCCTCTACCGCCCCACCACTGACCACCCCTCCTCTCCTCTAACCGCCCCACCACTGACCACCCCTCCTCCTCTCCTCTCACCGCCCCACCCACCGACCACCCCTCCTCTCCTCTACTACCGCCCACCACCCCCACCACTCACCCCTCCTCTCCCTCTAACCCCCCCACCACTGACCCCCACCCCCACCCCCCCCTCCTCTCCTCTACCGCCCCACCACACCACCCCTCCTCTCCTCTACCCCCCCCACCCACGACCACCCTCCTCTCCTCTACCCTCCTCTACCCCCCCCACCGACCACCCCTCCTCTCCTCCCACTACCACCCTCCTCTACCTCGCCCCACCACCGACCACCCCTCCTCTCCTCTCTACCGCCCCACCACGACCACCCCTCCTCTCCCTACCACCACACCACTACCACCCCCACCCTCCTCTCCTCTACCGCCCCCAACCACCCACCGACCACCCCCCCCTCCTCTCCCTACCGCCCCACCACGACCACCCCCCCTCCTCTCCTCCAACCCACGACCACCCCTCCTCTCCTCTACCCCCCCACCCTGACCACCCCCTCCTCTCCTCTACCGCCCCACCACTGACCACCCCTCCTCTCCTCTCATCGCCCCACCACTGACCACCCCCCCTCCTCTCTCATATACCCCCCCCACCACACTGACCACCCCCTCTCCTCTACCCACCCCGACCACCCCTCCTCCCTCCGCCCCACCACTGACCACCCCTCCTCTCCTCTACCCATACCAAACGCTCCCCAACACCGCCACCCACTACCCTCTCCTCTACCGCCCCACCACGGCCACCCCACTCCTCTCCCTCTGCCCCACCCCCCACCCTCCTCCCCCCCCCACACCACCACCCCCCCTCTCCTCTACCCTATAACCTCCCCCAACACTGACCACCCTCCTTCCTCTACACCCCTCCGCCCCACCACCGCCACCCCTCCCCCCTACCGACCAACACCCTCCTCTCCTCTTCCCCCACCACCCCCCACCCCTCCTCTCCCACCGCCCCACCACCGCCACCCCCCTCCCTCCCTCTACCCCCACCACCAAGTATCCAAAAATGTCATCAGTGCGCCTTTTACAGTTGATGATACTGCTCTTAAAATAGTTGTTCTCTCATCTGTAAAATAAATATCCAGAACTGATTAGTGTTATTAGTGGTCCAAAGTTTGGATGGCTGCCCGTACACTGTGTATGCCTGACTCTATCTGTATATGTGTGTACTGTAACTCTATACTGTATATTTAATGTCTCACAGGAGCAACAAACAGCCTGTTATTTGTGTACTTGATGTACACCATGTGACTATGTGCTTGGTTCCAGATGTTTGAGCCTATCTGGGATCCAGATCTAGAGAGAGCGAGGCGTTCTGTGGCTAGTTTACAGCAGCCTGCTTTTCCTCATACATGACTGCATGTGTTGTGTACAGTACTGTAATATAAAGGCAGAGTGATTGGTGTTCTGTAAGTGAAAAGAGATGTATACTGAAAAGACCAAGAGTAAAGTCATAAGCAGTGTTGCCATGTACACAAACTGGGCATTTACTGTAGTGGTGCTCTGTAAATGTAGTAAATATTAAATATTAGGGTTGCTACACTCTTAGAAAAAAGGGTTCCAAAAGGGTTCTTCGCTGTCCCCATAGGAGAACCCTTTTTGGTTCGGGGTAGAAACCTTTTTGGTTCCATGTAGAACCCTCAGTGGAAAGGGTTCTACACGGAACCCGAAAGGGTTCTACCTGGAACCAAAAGAGTTCTACCTGGAACCAAAAAGGGTTATTTAAATGGTTCTCCTATGGGGACAGCTGAAGAACCCTTTTAGGTTCTAGATTGCACCTTTTTCCCCCTAAGAGTGTATATGCTGTGATGCACAGTACTTTTCCAGAAATATCTGTCCAACAGAGCCCAGGAATGCACAATGTTCCAACATCGCGTAACCATTTCCCAGGACTGTATTTGTGTTTTCTGGGTATTTGTTTGGGACTGAATATGCCTGTGTTTATTGTCCGTGAGGGTTTATTTTTCCATTTGCAGTATTATTGTGCGTATGTGTGCATACGTCTGTGCGTCTGTATTTGTCAAGTAGATCTCACTCTGAAATTCCCCTGATGTAATGTGGCCTGGCTCTCTCTCTCTCTCTCTCTCTCTCTCTCTCTCCTCTCTCTCTCTCTCTCTCTCCTCTCCTCTCTCCTCTCTCTCTCTCTCTCTCTCTCTCTCTCTCTCTCTCTCTCCTCTCTCTCCTCTCTCTCTCTCTCTCTCTCCTCTCTCTCTCTCTCTCTCTCTCTCTCCTCTCTCTCTCTCTCTCTCTCTCTCTCATGCTCTCTCTGAGATGTACAGGGGGAACCACACTTGTCTGTGGCTCCTTTGAAGGAATCACTGGGCTAGCCAGGCAGGCGGAACAGGGGGGGAAATTCCACAGGCTCACATGTTCCCTGTGAACCAACCCACCAGTTTGGCTATGGGGATCTTCTCCTCCAGCTCCCCTGACCTTAGTGGAGGTGTCAGGGTTGCGGAGAGGGGGTACTATAGGGGTACAGACGGAGGAAGATGGGGTAAGAAGAGGTGGGAGAGAAGGGAACGATGGGGGAAGTAGAGACAAGCGAGAAGGGAAAGTGCAGGGAAATATGGGGGGAGAGGAGGAAATATTGGGAAGAGGGAAAAGATGGGGGGAAGTGAGATGGAGGAAGAGGAAGGGGGCCCCCCATATAGGACAAGGTCCCAGGGAGGGCCAATGGTATCTCCACTCTACAGGGAGTTGTTTCATTCACATCAGCTCATTCATTAGCTGGCCTCCCTCTGTCAAGCACTCAAGTGTGCAGCATGCCACTGTGTCTGATTGTGTTCACATGGAACAATTACTTAGGAAGAAGCTCTATGGACATAGAAGTATCTGCTAGATGTTGTTGATGTATGGACTTGTATAGTGTGTCCCAAATGACACTCTGTTCCCTATATAGTGCACTACTTTGACCAAAAGTAGTGCACGCCATATGGAATAGGGTGCCATTTGGGACACAGCCATGGTGGAGGTACAGTATGTGCTGGTGAAGAGCACTCACTTTTATGGGGCCTACAGTTTATGGAGTGGGATAAAGTTCCACTTTTAGCCAAAGATCGAAAGTGTCAAGGTTTGAAACACAGTTTACGTTTAAAGTCAAGGTCAACACAGAGTCTCATATTGCAGTTGGCTTACCACAGAGAAGGGAAAATGTTGGGCCTGCTTCTATTTGTTCTGGTGTGTGGTGAGGATTTTGGATATCCTGCATCTGTTTCTCACTGAGTGCATTGAATACAGCTGTCAGGAAGAGCAGAATATTCTTCGAACTCAATTAAGCAACTGTGGCGTTTTTGCAGCTATTGTGGAGGGCCTTTCCTTTGGTTTTGCAGTTTTTCTGGATGATGTTATATTCACTCAGTTCCTATTATAGATCAGAATGTAAGTGTGAGATGTGGTAGAGTCAGTTGGTAGAGCATGGCGTTTGCAACGGCAGGGTTGTGGGTTCGATTCCCACGGGGGGTATGAAAAATAATAATGTATGCACTCACTAACTGTAAGTCGCTCTGGATAAGAGCGTCTGCTAAATGACTAAAATGTAAATGTGAATTATTGAGATCTACAGGTAACTGCCAAAATAATGGAAACACTTGAGTAAATGAGGGATACAAAGTATATTGAAAGCAGGTGCTTCCACACAGGTGTGGTTCCTGAGTTAATTAAGCAATTAACCTCCCATCATGCTTAGGGTCATGCATAAAAATGCTGGGCAGGCCATTATTTTGGATACTGAGGCTATGCCCCAATAGGATGGCAATGCACCCAACCACAAGGCACGAGTGGTCACTGAATGGTTTGATGAGCATGAAAACGATGTAAACCATATGCCATGGCGTCTCAGTCACCAGATCTCAACCCAATTGAACACTTATGGGAGATTCTGGAGCGGCGCCTAAGACAGCGTTTTCCACCACCATCATCAACAAACACTAAATTATGGAATTTCTTGTGGAGGAATGGTGTCACATCCCTCCAATAGAGTTCCAGACACTTGTAGAATCTATGCCAAGGTACATTGATGCTGTTCTGGCTCGTGGTGGCCCATCCCTATTAAGAAGCTTTATGTTGGTGTTTCTTTTATTTTGTCAGTTACCTGTATGTGTGTGGCCCAATGGTTATGGTACACAATTAGATTCAGACTATCACGGGGCAACGACTCCTGCCTCAATCCATCAGTTTATGCAATATCAGATCATCCAAACACATTGGAACCTTTTGCTTTATTGTATACTGCCAAATATTAAATGGTGTGAAATTGGATTACAAGGTATTAACACATATTCCAACTTCTGTGAAATTACACATTATGGACACCAATAGTTCAGCCTAGCTGTGTCCAATCATCTGCCAAGATGAGACCCCCCCCCCCCCCTTGTGGGTTCATCTTATTTACAGCCTGGCGAAGACCTTTGTGTCGAATCGTTGCACAGTAGACCTACTGGAGCAATCAACAGTGTGCAGGTATTTACATTTTATTTATTTAGCAGACGATCTTATCCAGAGCGACTTACAGTTAGTGCATTCATCTTAAGATAGCTAGGTTGGACAACCACATATCACAATCATAGTAAGTAAAACAATTCTCAAAGTAGCTATCAGCAAAGTCAGAGCTAGTAAGGGGGGGGGGGGGGGGAGTGCGAGTTACAGTGAGCTCACAAGGTATTGAGACAGTGACACACTCTTTTTATCAGTTTACTTATTGTACCCTGCACCTGCATGTTACTGGATTTGCATACTTTAAAACGTATTTAGTGAACATATTTACCTAATTTGGGACGACATACAGGGATTACTTACGTAACAGCCGTGGCAAGTATTTGGAGGAACAATAGTAAATCATGATTGATTTTATGGTCAAGTGGACTTATGGCCTGCTGACCCCGGAGCAGACCCCAGGCTTCCGTATGTTTTCCCTCACCAAGGGTAACCTAACGTAGCAGGTGTTAAAGAAACGCCTGAAACTAGATCCCCTACATACTGGTCTTGACCAGAAGAAAATAAAAATGTCAGGGGAGGTTCTCTTCTGCACTGTTCAATCAATCCAGTAAATGTGGAGGAGAAGTTAAGATGGAGTGTCACCTTGTTAATGTCCAAAAGCGGAAGTTGAGTCACAGGCTCTCTTTCCATTTCCCCTGAAAACTGGAATATCCAGTAGCTAGGACTGTTTCTGGTCAAATAGACCTTCAACCGGTGCCAGGCCAGCCATGTTCATGCTCTGTTACGTAATGGAATGCTAAGACACAACACCTTGACATAGATTTAATTGTTATTCTGAGTTTATGCAGTTATCGTGTTTATATCTGTTTTTTCGCCAATTTGATAAGATAAACTGTTCTTTCACTCCCAAACCTAATGCAATGGTAAATCTAAGCGCTGGCCATAGCGCTATAGGTCCAGGGGTGTGTCAGAAATATATTTGCTATTTTCACAGCTGGAATTATGAGCGCAATAGCTGGCGGTTGCGCGAAAGGGCTGGGTTTTGATGAATAAACAAGTTTGAGGAGGGCTTGGCCAATTAACACGTTCCATGGCTTAATACTGCATGCATGTGTCTCAAGTTCTATAGATTATTGAAGGTCTTTTCATCAACTCCAGAATATTCTCATCCTGGTCCATTGTGTATTGATAGCCTAATACAGTTTATTAAATAACATAGGCTACAGTAATGAGGAATAGCAACAGTAAAACAACATCTAGTGTTTGCTCAAGAGCCTATGTTTGGAGTGTTGGCAGTCAACATCGTTGTAATTGGCTTCAATGAGCCTAGCCTACATGTCTTTATGTCATCGCACTTCTCCTAAAATAAAAAACACTAGACTCCCGTAAATTGTATTGTATGTGTGATGCACGTTCTCAATAAGCAAAATATAGTCTAGGTCTACCATTAATAGTGCATTATAGGACAGAATAATTTAAATAAGTTTGGAGGAGTGCACCTTTGGTAACCGGATGAAATGTGCTCTTTGGAGATGTGGATGGATACTTGAACAAGTGAAAGGAAGTATACAGGTAGGCATATGTGTGTGTATGTTTTAGGATGTGCAGTATATTTTCAATTCAAGACACTCTGACGAATAGACCATTTAAACACCATTTATGGATAGGCTACTTTGCAAGGCCAGGATAAAAAAGACACAATGCATTACTGTTGAACCAGCCTTAGTGCCTTCAGAAAGCATTCATACCGCTTGACTTATTCCACATTTTGTTGTGTTGCGACCTGAATTCAAAATGTATTAAATATATTTTTTTGTCTCACCCGTCTACACACAATACCCTGTAATGACAAAGTGAAAACATGGTTTTAGAAATTTTAGCAAATACAGAAATAGTATCGTGGACTAACTACAATGTTGTTGATCCATCCTCAGTTTTCTCGTATCACAGCCATTAAACTCTGTAACTGTTTTAAAGTCACCATTGGCCTCATGGTGAAGTCCCTGAGCGGTTTCCTTCCTCTCCGGCAGCTGAGTTAGGAAGGACGCCTGTATCTTTGTAGTGAATGGGTGTACTGATACACCATCCAAAGTGTAATTAATAACTTCACCATGCTCAAAGGGATATTCAATGTCTGCTTTTTTATTTTTTACCCATTTACCAATAAGTGCCCTTTGCCAGATATTGGAAAACCTCCCTGGTCTTTGTGGTTGCATCTACAGTACCAGTCAAAAGTTTGGACACACCTACTCATTCAAGTTTTTTTTAACATTGTAGAGTAAGAGTGAAGACATCAAAACTATGAAATAACACATATGGAATCATGTTGTAACCAAAAAAGTGTTAAACAAATCAAAATATATTTTATATTTGAGATTCATCAAATAGCCACCCTTTGCCTTTGCCCACTCTTGGCATTCTCTCAACAAGCTTCACCTGGAATGCTTTTCCAACAGTCTTGAAGGACTTCCCACATATGCTGAGCACTTGTTGGCTGCTTTTCCTTCACTCTGCCGTCCGACTCATCCCAAACCATCTCAATTGGGTTGAGGTCGGATGATTGTGGAGGCTAGGTCATCTGATGCAGCACTCCATCACTCTCCTTCTTGGTACAATAGCCCTTACACAGCCTGGAGATGTGTTGGGTCATTGTCCTGTTGAAAAACAAATGATAGTCCCACTAAGCCCAAACAAGATGGGATGGCGTATATCGCTACAGAATGCTGTGGTAGCCATGCTGGTTAAGTGTGCCTTGAATTCTAAATAAATCACAGACAATGTCACCAGCAAAGCACCCCCACACCATAACACCTCCTCCCCCATGCTTTATGGTGGGAACTACACATGCAGAGATCATCCGTTCACCCACACCGCGTCTCACATAGACACAGCGGTTGGAACCAAAAATCTCCAATTTGGACTCCAGACCAAAGGATACATTTCCACCGGTCTAATGTCCATTGCTCCTGTTTCTTGGCCCAAACAAGTATCTTCTTCTTATAAGTGTCCTTTAGTAGTGGTTTCTTTGCAGCAATTCGACCATGAAGGCCTGATTCACACAGTCTCCTCTGAACAGCTGATGTTGAGATGTGTCTTTTACTTGAACTCTATGAAGCATTTATTTGGCTGCAATTTCTGAGGCTGGTAACACTAATGAACGTATCTTCTGCAGCAGAAGTAACTCTGGGTCTTCTATTCCTGTGACGGTCCTAATGAGAGCCAGTTTCATCATAGCGCTTGATGGTTTTTGCGACTGCACTTGAAGAAACTTTCAAAGCTATGGAAATGTTCCGTATTGACTGACCTTCATGTCTAAAAATAATGATGGACTGTCGTTTCTCTTTGCTTATTTGAACTGTTCTTGCCATAACTATGGACATGGTCTTTTACCAAATAGGGATATCTTCTGTATAACCCTGTTAGACAGGTAAATAGCCAAACCTGCCGTTATTTTGCTGTGCATAGAATGGCGTCATGATTGCATTCAGATGTGTGGCCCAGAGCTCTGACGTCATGTATAGCATGTTACTGTCCAGCCACTGAGTTCCAATTTAGGCGCTTATCAGTCTCCAAATCTACAAATTTTCAACCCGTATATGGGTGCAAGTGTAAAGGGCTACACTTAAATTACGTAAGCTTTCACGATCTTCAAAGTCTCTCTAGCTTGACACATTGAGAGTGGAAGATTGCTTTCAGTCGTACGGCCTTACAGTCTTACGGAAAGTGAGTAGAAACAGAAGAGTTTGCGTTTTTCTCCCTTACTAAAGCCATCCTTCACTGAATTAGGAAATAAGGGAAACTCATGCAGACACACATGCAGTGGTGGGGTGGTGTTGGAGGAGGGAGGGCTGAGGCAGAACAGTGAGGCTGAGCTCTGGGGGTGGTTGTGGTGGTGATAACTGGAGGTGGTGTCAGTGTCGGGATATTTTCTGTTTTCTGTTTTTTTTGCTGAGGATGCCAGCGAGCTCTGTGGTTCAGACTGACTGGGCTGCAGGCCCACAGACAGGCCTCTGACAGACTCATCATGGCTGCCCACATGGTTAAGGAAACACTGAACCAGAATCTGGCCTTACAGGAGACAATGATATGGCTAATCTCTTTTAAGCCCAGGAAGCAGTCATTCAACATGCCATTTACTAGCTTTTCAAGCTTAATAATATCAAAATACATTTGTTATTCACCAATTAGCAACTATCGTCATTTACTGCCGTCACGGCCGGTATGTCCTTCCAGAAAACGTCTAAATAAAAAGTTACATGCAACTGAAAATATTCCTCTTCTACACAGTAGACCACACAGTAGACCACACAGTAGACCACACAGTAGACAATTGACAAAATATTTTTGGGGGATAAGATACCTTTTATTGTTATCACACAGGTGGAATAAAGAACAGTTCTTATTTCAAACAACAACCGGTCAACTTTGTTTCTATGCAATGTAATTAATATTCAATAATTACCATCAATGTTATTACCATGTCAGTACATGGGTTCAGCACATTATAAAAGGGCCATTTTAGGTTTAGGATCCAGCTGAGATTTATCTTCAACTTTAACAGAGAGCTCTGTACCAATAGGTAACCAATATGGTTTACGAGTTTCAACCAATAAGAGGACTTCTTGAATTTATAGTGCCTTATCACTTCTGATCCTCAAATGTTATTTACTTTGGTTTAAAGCTGTTATTAATCTCTCTCTTCAGAAACCTCTTCCTCTAAAGCAGGGATGGGCAACTTTGATGGGGGTGGGGGCCACAAATGAAAGGAACTCATCATGAGGGGCCGCAGTGGCTCATCATGAGGGGCCATCTGCGTGCCCACGAGCTCCACCCACCTTGAGAGCAAAACATTTTAACGGCCCCCCTCGTGACAGCGAAAATACATTTTTTTAGTTTAAAAGTTAATTTCCTGCAATTCTACACATTTTGCCGTTGGGTGTAGACAAAATGATTCCGTTTTAAAGCAAGTTTGCTGCAATTCTACACATTTTGCCATGGGGTGGAGGCAACTGCTTGCAGTTTTTAATATGATAACTGATGATCAATGGGCCCCACCGCAGTCGGTAATTCGACCATGCTTTCTACAAGTTTAGATAGCCGGCCGCTAAACTAATTTACCAATCTAAAAAAAAATAAGGTGACACGGGCTAATTGAGTGACTGCTGATGCACAACCAAATTTCATAATTGCACCATGTGTATTCTGTTATTCTAACTCTCAACAGTAAGTTGAGACCCTGAATGAGTTCCATTTATTTTAATTTTATTTTTAATTGTTCCACGGGCCTACAAAAGGGGGGCATGCTCTAAAGTGTTCTTTTCCAGATCGATTGTACTGGAGGGAGGTGATATGAGGTCCTTCTGTGGGTTGGGAGAGGAAGGTGTGTGTGTGTGTGTGTGTGTGTGTGTGTGTGTGTGTGTGTGTGTGTGTGTGTGTGTGTGCGTGCGTGCGCATGTGTATGTGCATCCATGTGTGTGTGGTGGCAGATATGCAGGGTTATAAATTCACAGGATGTTTTTAGGGAATGCTGTGGGGTGACCCCGGTCCCCTGTACACACTCAAGTACTCCCCATGATGATGTGGTTAAATCGACATGATGCTCTGGTGGCCTCTTGGTGATGTGGAGCATAATATATGCTCTGTAGGGATACAGGGTGCATGCATAGGCCTATTATTCATTCAGTCGATGATATATATAGACTATACTGTATATACAAAAGCATGTGGACACCGCTTCAAATTACTGGATTTGGCTATTTCAGCCACACCCGTTGCTGACAGGCCACACAAGCTCACAGAATGGGACCGCCGAGTGCTGAAGCGCGTAGCACGTAAAAATCATCTGTCCTCGGTTGCAACACTCACTACCAAGTTCCAAACTGCCTCTGGAAGCAATGTCAGCACAAGAACTGTTCGTCAGGAGCTTCATGAAATGGGTTTCCATGGCCAAGCAGCTGCACACAAGCCTAAGATCACCATGCGCAATGCCAAGCATCGGCTGGAGTGGTGTAAAGCTCACCGCCATTGGACTCTGGAGCAGTGGAAACGTGTTCTCTGGAGTGATGAATCACGCTTCACCATCTGGCAGTCCGATGGACGAATCTGGGTTTGGCGGATGCCAGGAGAACGCTACCTGCCCCAGTGCCAACTGTAAAGTTAGGTGGAGGAGGAATAATGGTCTGGGGCTGTTTTTCATGGTTCCGGCTAGGCCCCTTAGGTCAAGTGAAGGGAAACCTTAATGCTACAGCATACAATGACATTCTAGAAGATTCTGTGCTTCCAACTTTGTGGCAACAGTTTGGGGAAGGCCCTTTCCTGTTTCAGCATGACAATGCCCCGTGCACAAAGTGAGGTCCATACAGAAATGGTTTGTCGCAATCGGTGTGGAAGAACTTGACTGGCCTGCACAGAGCCCTGACCTCAACCCCATCGAACACCTTTGGGATGAATTGGAACGCTGACTGCGATCCAGGCCTAATCGCCCAACATCAGTTGGGGTGGGACCAACTCCATATTAATGCCCATATCCATATACTTTTGGTCATGTAGTGTACCTTACGTAGGCTAATGGAAGTTCTTCTGCTTGCCTTGAAGAAGAAGAAACAGTGAAAGAAGATTGAACCTGTTCATGTCTTTTTTGCTGCACAATTGTAATGATTTTTACTTGAACTATGTACTAAAGAAAAACATTAAGGTTCCTTTAACTTGAAATAACGTTTGCTTAAAATAACATATTCAGCAGCATAAGTGCATGGTGGGGTCTAGGTGTTGTGTTGAATCCATTGTTGCTTGCAACAAAAACTCAGGTTTGATCAACTCAATAATGAACAGGCGCGTGCATGCTGAAAGCACATTTGGAGCTGGGGATATCCTTTGTTTTGCTCTTCAGAGTATCCTTGAATAAGAAGACGGACCCACTTTTGTTTGAATCGGGGGTGTCCCTCCCTCCACGATGCATGTGACAAAAACACTGACCGGCCCCCTTCAATTCCCATGGATCGACCTACAGAACCTCCGCTTCAAGACATCTGTTCCTTTCTAACAGAGCGCGCCCCCGTTTCCAGAGCTGTGACGGAACGACTGACTCTCGTGGTCCCCCGACTGGTGATTTCCACGTTGACTCAAACTCACCCTGCTCTTCTTTTCGCAGTTTGTAGACCAGAGGGAATTGGAACGAGGATTTTTCCTCCTCCCCATCACTCTTGTTCGAGCAGAGTCACCACCGAGCGTCAAAAGCCCGGTGCCATTGAGTAGCCGATTTCTTTTTGTCTGCCCTCTAGCAGGGGGTTTCGCATCCTCCGCGTCTGGCTTGGATGGGAAACGACAACGAAGGGCGAATGAAAATAACGTGGTTTCTGATGTTTGTATATTTTGCGCTTCTGAACATTTAATTCCTCGAATTCAGTCATCGTTGAGAGACTACTGTGATTATGGAGTCGGTAGAAAAGGAGTGCGGAGCGTTGGGTGGATTATTCCAAGCTATCGTCAACGACATGAAGGTACCAGAGCTCGATTAATGTCGACAGGTTTTGCCGATCTATTGCATTGATGATCAGACGCAATTTACTGCCTTTGTTTCCTCTCCTATTCCCTACCCCCTCACTGGCTATGCAATAGGATAAATTGTGATAAATATTTTTCCTTTGTGTTATTTGCCTGGAGTGGGCAGATTTGTAGGGGGGCAGCTATTCTGGTGACGACCAACATTAGTCTGTCCTTGAATAGAATCAGGCTGTATATTTTTTTTATGAGTTAATATTTGTAGGCTATAGGCTACATACTTTGTTATGCAAAATGTATGTTATACTATTATTATCAATAACTGAATAATAACTGAATAATGTCTGAATAAAAAAGCCGGGGTTCCCATTGACCCACCTCTTAATCAGTCATTGTTACAACCACTGTTATTGTGGATTTCTTGATGGATGTATGACAGCTCCCTAACCTAATCCAACAGACAAGACAAACAACCTATATATCACCTCAACAGCTGGGATGTGGACATATAAAGCATGTGGCACACATTGATCACAGAACCCATAACATGTTTTTAGTGTGTGTGTGTCTGTGTGCCTACACATTTTCCAGTGTCTAACATCAGGCCAATGATGGAGAGAGGGGTTGATTGATCAAATTTGGTGACCCCTTCTCATCCAGGAAGGCACCTCTTTGACAAAGACATCATGTGTCAAATCATATGGCCATTTTGGCCACTAGGCCCTGGTCCCTAGTGGCCATGGTCTGGCTCACGACACCATATGGCCACTGGCCAGTGTCCACCACCAAAGATTGTGATGTTTCTCTTTATATTTAGATTATGGGGGTTTTGGGGAATGTGCAGCCAAGCTGGACAAGTGCACATAGGTTGAGGCTGTGGCCTGGTTTGGTCTGTTGTACAAAATATGGAAAGTATGAACAGGCATGGTCATCAGCCGTGGAGGAAGACAAGTTGGGTCGCTGCCAAGGATTGTTGGGTCATATGGACTAGGACGAAAGTAACATTTGTAGTTTTTTTCCTAATTACTCAGAGATCGATAGAGCTAGAGACTCCATATTTTATGACAAACAACTTATATATGTCCTCTATCATTAGCAACTCTAATTTAATTTATAGGATGAATTAGTTGAAATTAAATAGACAGAGAACAGAACTACTGTGCCGTTATTTTTGTACCTGTTGGCAGGGCGGGAGTAACACAGCATTGGGATGGAACTAACAGCTGCACAATATCTGTCTTATCTCCATGTTTCTGGTTTGTAATGCTCATTACTTTCAACAAATGTACTATCGGCCATAATTTCATGTTTGTGTCGATTTTAATAATTTATGCTATAGGTTCATAATTTATGAAAATGAACCATGCGTCAACATCACAATGTTGCGCAACCACAATATTTTTCCTTACAATATTAATCGGACTAAAATGGATCACATAATAGCTATATTAACCATAATTTTCTCATCTCACCTTAATGGGAATGTAGTAGGAGATGTTTTTCAAAATGTTCAATGACTATTCATGCTTAGCCCTACCAATCAGGTGCGCTCAAGCTTTATTCTCTTCACAAACGGCAAACTCATCATGCTTATCACATATCCATGGCTTGACAGGTAATTGACCCCCAGAATAATAAAAAATACACTACATGACCACAAGTATGTGGACACCTGCTCGTCAAACATCTCATTCCAAAATCATGGGCATTAATGTGGAGTTGGTCCCCCCTTTGATGCTATAATAGCCTCCACTCTTCTGGGAAGGCTTTCCACTAGATGTTGGAACATTGCTGCGGGCACTTGCTTCCATTCAGCCACAAGAGCATTAGTGAAGTCGGGCACTGATGTTGGGTGATTAGGCCTGGCTCGCAGTCGGCGTTCCAATTCATCCCAAAGGGGTTCGATGGGGTTGAGGTCAGGGCTCTGTGCAGGCCAGTCAAGTTCTTCCACACCGATCTCGACAAACCATTTCTGTATGGACATCGCTTTGTGCACAGGGGCATTGTCCTGAAACAGGAAAGGGCCTTCCCCAAACTGTTGCCACAAAGTTGGAAGCACGTAATCATCTAGATTGTAATTGTATGCTGAGCGTTAAGATTTCCCTTCACTGGAACTAAGGGGCCTAGCCCGAACCATGAAAAACAGCCCCAGACCATTATTCCTCCTCCACCAAACTTTACAGTTGGAAACTATGCATGTCGGACAATTTGTCCGTCGGACTGCCAGATGGTGAAGTGTGATTCATCACTCCAGAGAACGCGTTTCCACTGCTCCAGAGTCCAATGGCAGCGAGCTTTATACCACTCCAGCCAATGATTATCATTGCTCATGGTGATCTTAGGCTTGTGTGCGGCTGCTCGGCCATGGAAGCCCATTTCATGAAGCTCCCGACGAATAGTTCTTGTGCTGACGTTGTTTCCAGAGGCAGTTTGGAACTCAATAGTGAGTGTTGCAACCGAGGACAGACGATTTTTACACGCTATGCGCTTCAGCACTCGGTGGTCCCATTCTGTGAGCTTGTGTGGCCTACCACTTCGCGGCTGAGCAGTTGTTTCTCCTAGACGTTTCCACTTCACAATAACAGCACTTACAGTTGACCAGGGCAGCTCTAGCAGGGCAGAACATTTGACGAACTGACTTGTTGGAAAGGTGGCATCCTATGACGGTGCCTTCAGTAAGGCCATTCTACTGCCAATGTTTGTCTATGGAGATTGCATGGCTGTGTGCTCGATTTTATACACCTGTCAGCAACGGCTGTGGCTGAAATAACCGAATCCACTAATTTGAAGGGGTGTCCACATACTTTTATATATATAGTGTATATTTAACTACTAACCTGTCGATAAAACCTTATGTGAGAAGCTGATCCATTAAGTCAATTGATTAAAGCATAATTCTAATTATGTCATATATAACTTTCAAACATTTAGTCACTTGTTGATATTTTGCTAACAATATAAAAGCAATATGAACTAGAAGAGGCAATGGCCTGTGCTTAAACGTTTTCTTTTATTCCATGTCATCAATTTACATTGTGTTACTTTCGTCCCACCTGTCTCTATTGTAACTTCCCCCAGGCTAACACCCAAGACTAGCTAGCATGATACTTGAAACCTATGCTGTCATTTAGTCACTAGATGGGTTAAGAAAATGACATGTTTGGAACCTTAACAACTAAACAGAACTCTACAACCGACAAATATTTCCGGGTCCGTTTTTTTACTTACATTGCTCAAAACCACTTTTTGTTGATAACTCGTCGAAGCATGGTCAGACTGGGCTGTTTTTTTGCAGGGAGGTCGTCCTCCACATTAGGAACGTACTGACTTCACTACGTCATTCTAGCTTCTGTGTTATCTGAGAAAAAAGTTGTGTTACTTTCACCCTGTGTTACTTTCGTCCCGGCTCTCCCCTACTCACCATAAATAGGACTAGGAGTTTTTCCTGACCACATAATCTGGAAAACTCTGGGCTTTAGTTATAAACTATATAAATATAGAAAGTGTCATGATCTGACCAGGAGGAACTCTGGACCCTAGTTATAAACTATATATAAATCGTATATATAGAAAGTGTGAGTATATATATAATGATTATGTCCTTCCTCTCTAGGCTTGTAGCTCTGGTTCTAAAAAAGGATTGTTCACACTGCAGGCCTTAATGCTCAAATAATGTTTGTTTTTTTCAAATCCATTTTGGAATACTGAATATCCAAACAGCAAGTTAAAAGTGACCAAATCGGATTTGTGTGTTTTCAAACAGCAGCCAACTGCCAGTGTGAACAAGGCTTAAGAGGCTGAGGCTCCAATCCTGAAATTATAAAGGAGAATTTGAATTGAATTACTTACCGGGCTAAATAAAGGTTAAATAAGGTCATGTCATTTAGAAAAACTTCTGGCCCTAATAATAAAGCAACAGGACCCACTCCAGTTCCTATCAAACGTATCTGTATTCGTCTCTAAGTAGTAGTGCTGATCTAGGACCAGGTCCCCCCTTTTCCATTCATTTTAATCTAAATGGCAAAACTGATCCTATATCAGCACTCCTACCCTGATCCCTGGTATTGATAATCTACTCACAGTGTCTAACTGGCCATGGCCACTCGATACCCTCTATTTATGGGCCGTTATTTGTCAAGCACTGTAAGACGCTCAATGAGATCAGCACTTAGTATCAGCATTTCATACATTTTTTGTCGTCGTCGTGTCTACGGGAGCAAAACAAGACTTGAAGAAAGGAACCTATTGATAAATAGCTGGAATCAATGGGTCCAAATTCAGAAAACCTTACTCAGCAGTCAGCAGAACTGGGTCGTATTCACTGCCCTCAAATTCAAATCTGGACCTTGAAGCCAGTTCCACTGTATTTGTTAATTCTTCCCCTCTAATCAGGGACTGATTTAAACCTTGGACACCAGGTGGGTGCAATTCATAATCAGGTAGAACAGAAAACCAGCAGTAGTCCAGACCTTGTAGGGTAAGATGTTACAGGAGGGGGGTCGCAGTTCTGGAGCGATCCACTAGGTGTCCTCCTCCGACAACCTTAGGCACCTCCTCATTCACAGTCTGGACTAATCATGATCCTATTGGTGTCACCTGTGTCTACCTGTTCACCTGTGTATTTATGCCCTCACTTCCCTGTGTTCCCTTGCTCAGTTTTCTCTGCTAGTTTCTCTATGCCCAGCAGTACTAATCAGTGTCTGATCGGAGACGTATGTACAGGGACTTGAGAAGTGTTCTCCCTGTTTCTCTTCATAGTTAGTATTTCGTATTTTGGCTGTCAGCCTGTTTTTGGAGACTTATTTGCTCCGCCTTTCTTTTATCGTGATAAGTCTGTTATTTTGTATCCTGGCTTCGGGACCACCAGTAAAGATCCTTGTTTCACCATCTCTGCCTACTGCCTACTGTCTATCCTGCACTGCACCTGGGTCACACCTCACACCAACCCTTACAGTAAATTGAATACCCCTTGCGCTAGGGCATGCAATAGAAAACGTTTTCAAGCGTTGCAACGGATAAAGGAAATTACATTTCTTATTGGACAAGTCCAAGTAGTCCCTCCCAGTTTCAGTCCATTTTCTTCCGTTTGGTGCCTAATGAATATTACCCAAGTGCCTAGTGCTTGGCCTCCTTCCTGGCCAGCCAAGGAGAGAATTAGCCCCATGTCTCTATGACTAACCCAGCTATGTAGGGTAGGTACACACTGTCAGTGTTGCAGCCTGTTGAGAGCTCTGCCAGTGTATCACTGACTCCCCTATATCCAACAGCGCAACATGACACAGACCAGCCACCATCTGATGCAGTTATATAACAGCCATCCCTGCTCTCTTCAGATTAATTAATTAACTGAGAAAGGCAGGATCTGCCTGGATTTTAGGAGCTCTGTATGTGTGTTTATGTGCTCACGCGCGTGTGTGTGTCTTCCTTCGCTGCACTGCGTGGATCTCTTAACCCTGCATTCACCCTGCTCCCTCAGCTGTCCTGGCTCAACCTCCTCTCAGCCTCCTCCGTCGTCGCCGGGAGGCGCGGGGCTGAAAAGCTGATTAGCCACCTGTTGCAGCCCAGTGAAGACAGACAGGGAGAATGGTGAAGCATGGGGAAAACATTTTAATAGTGAACGTGATAGTCCTTATAGTGTAACCAAATCACTTTGTGACTAGTTAATTTTCTCATAGAAATATCTGGAAAACATGGGATCTCTTCTTGGGAGGATATGAGGAGAGAAATAGGATGAGAGTGAATGATCTGGGATGTTTTTTCGCCTATTTTCTCCTTTCTCTGCAGTCTTTTCACTTCTCTGCAAGAGAAGATTGTGAATATGTAGACAGGCTATGTCCCCTTCTCTCTGGGCTCTATAAGAGGCTAAGGCTGGGCTCCAGTCATAAACATGTTTTGTGTTTGGGCTGGGGCCCAGGGCTGGAGGGAGGCAGGTTGCATGTGACTGATCATCCTCAGGGAAATCTGATCCAGTCTGATTCCTTAAAGGTCCAATGCAGATATTTTTATATCAATATCAAATCATTTCTGGCTAACAATTAAGTACATTACTGTGATTGTTTTCAATTAAAATGGTCAAAAACAAACAAAAATAGCTTCTTAGCAAAGAGCAATTTCTCAAGCAATTTATCTAGGACTATCTGGGAGTGGTCTGAGTGGGGAGGGGAAAACTGAAAACTAGCTGTTATTGGCAGAGAGGTTTGTAACTCTCTTTCCAATTGGTCTATTAACTCATTTACTGCCTGCCAGGCAGGCCAAAACTCCATCCAACCAAAACAGGCAAAAATTCCAGGCGTTCTTTTTCAAACAGCTCTTACACTAAAAGGGTATTATAACTTTTAACATTTCACAGTACTATTCCAACCTCATTGTGTGGAAATGTATATAAAGCACAGGAAAATCATATTTTTGACTGCATGCAACCTGCTCCGTCCCCCCCAATTTCCCCCTTCCCCCCTCCACATACACCCCAGCCTGGCCCTGCAGCACCCCACAGGAGCAGGGATGCTATTAGGTAGTCACACAGTCTGGGAACGTTGTAGCAATGTAGTTAAATGCCCCTTTAAAAGACATGTATCAGCAGAAGTGTGTTCTGTAGGCACACTGTGTTGGTTACAATACTTACCCTTGGGGAAGAAGCTACCTTTCAGAGTTATGCACCCCTGTTGGGCACATGTTTAATTTTCACAGTCAACTGTGTTTTCAGCTTGGTTAGGTAAGAGAGAATATGCAAGCTTGATAGGACGAGAATGTATTATGTTGTTCTGAGTCATACAAATTAGTAATATCAAAATGCTGAGCACAGAAAGTGCTCCAAAGTGCTGGTCAACTGGAACAAAGCATGATGTTTGTGGCGCAAAAGGTTTTAACTAATGTTTGATTCCTTTTTCATCCAGAGTTCCTATCCAGTGTGGGAAGACTTCAGTGCCAAGGCCACTAAACTGCACTCCCAACTCAGGTGAGACCTTAATTTCATGTCCTATCCCTCTTCAGTAGACTGGTAACTCTAAATGTCTTGTGTTGACATTCTGGACTATTGCTGGTTTCTAGTCACTGTTGATGTTGAATGCTGAGTGCTGTTTCCTCCTCCTGTGTACATGTAGGACCACAGTTCTGGCAGCAGTGGCATTTCTAGATGCCTTTCAGAAGGTGGCAGACATGGCAACCAACTCAAGAGGTAAGGAGAAAGTAGAAGGAAGAAGGCCTTTTTTAATATCTTTGTTTCCTCTCCCTTGACTCAACCATTCTGAAAACATTGTATAGGTGAAACTAATATCCTCAACTCCTACAGTGATTTTGTTATTGCTTTCACTTATCTAGTGCTTTCACATCAGTGTGGCTCAAAGGAAGGGGATTGAATGGGATCTTACGCACGTACAAATTCGGAAACATATTGTGGCGGTTTTGGAGCAGTGGCTTCTTCCTTGCTGAGCGGCCTTTCAGGTTATGTCGATATAGGACTCGTTTTACTGTGGATATAGATACTTTTGTACCGGTTTCCTCCAGCATCTTCACAAGGTCCTTTGCTGTTGTTCTGGGATTGATTTGCACTTTTCGCACCAAAGTACATTAATCTCTAGGAGACAGAACGCGTCTCCTTCCTGAGCGGTATGACGGCTGCGTGGTCCCATGGTGTTTATACTTGCGTACTATTGTTTGTACAGATGAACGTGGTACCTTCAGGCGTTTGGAAATTGCTCCCAAGGATGAACCAGAAGCTGTTTAAAGGCACAGTCAACTTAGTGTATGTAAACTTCTGACCCACTGGAATTGTGAATTATAAGTGACATAAAGGCACTTAACCTTAATTTGCTTCAGGGACGCCGTACTACTATGGCTGACCCTGTAAAACAACACTTTTTACTGCACCTATCCGGTGTACAGTCGTGGTCAAAAGTTTGGAGAATGACACAAATATTAATTTTCACAAAGTCTGCTGCCTCAGTTTTTATGATGGCAATTTGCATATACTCCAGAATGTTATGAAGAGTGATCAGATGAATTGCAATTAATTGCAAAGTCCCTCTTTGCCATGAAAATGAACTTAATCCCCAAAAAACATTTCCACTGCATTTCAGCCCTGCCACAATTGGACCAGCTGACATCATGTCAGTGATTCTCTTGTTAACACAGGTGAGAGTGTTGATGAGGACAAGGCTGGAGATCACTCTGTCATGCTGATTGAGTTAGAATAACAGACTGGAAGCTTTAAAAGGAGGGTGGTGCTTGAAATGATTGTTGTTGGTTAGCTGCAAGAAAACACGTGCCGTCATCATTGCTTTGCACAAAAAGGGCTTCACAGGCAAGGATATTGCTGCTAGTAAGATTGCGCCTAAATCAACCATTTATCGGATCATCAAGAACTTCAAGGAGAGAGGTTCAATTGTTGTGAAGAAGGCTTCAGGGCACCCAAGAAAGTCCAGCAAGCGCCAGGACCGTCTCCTAAATTTGATTCAGCTGCGGGATTGGGGCACCACCAGTGCAGAGCTTGCTCAGGAATGGCAGCAGGCAGGTGTGAGTGCATCTGCACGCACAGTGAGGCGAAGACTTTTGGAGGATGGCCTGGTGTCAAGAAGGGCAGCGAGGAAGCCACTTCTCTCCAGGAAAAACATCAGGGACAGACTGATATTCTGCAAAAGGTACAGGGATTGGACTGCTGAGGACTGGGGTAAAGTCATGTTCTCTGATGAATCCCCTTTCCGATTGTTTGGGGCATCCGGAAAAAAGCTTGTCCCGAGAAGACAAGGTGAGCGCTACCATCAGTCCTGTGTCATGCCAAAAGTAAAGCATCCTGGGACCATTCATGTGTGGGGTTGCTTCTCAGCCAAGACAATGGGCTCACTCACAATTTTGCCTAAGAACACAGCCATGAAGAAAGAATGGTACCAACACATCCTCCGAGAGCAACTTCTCCCAACCATCCAAGAACAGTTTGCTGACGAATAATGCCTTTTCCAGCATGATGGAGCACCTTGCCATAAGGCAAAAGTGATAACTAAGTGGCTCGGGGAACGAAACATCGAACTTTTTGGTCCATGGCCAGGAAACTCCCCAGACCTTAATCCCATTGAGAACATGTGGTCAATCCTCAAGAGGCGGGTGGACAAACAAAAACCCACATATTCTGACAAACTCCAAGCATTGATTATGCAAGAATGGGCTGCCATCAGTCAGGATATGGCCCAGAAGTTAATTGACAGCATGCCAGGGCGGATTGCAGAGGTCTTGAAAAATAAGGGTCAACACTGCAAATATTGACTCTTTGCATAAACTTAATGTAATTATCAATAAAAGCCTTTGACACTTATGGAATGCTTGTAATTATACTTCAGTATACCATAGTAACATCTGACAAAAATATCTAAAAACACTGAAGCAGCAAACTTTGTGAAGACCAATACTTGTGTCGTTCTCAAAACTTTTGACCACGACTGTATGTGCCAATAAATTATATTACTGCCTTCGGGAAACACGAATACAAGCCGGTGCGAATGACCAGTGCACACTGGTGTTGTATAGAGGTGCCTGCCGACCTGCTTCCCACTGGGCAGCTGTATCATGGTCTCGCCAGTGATAGTTAACGTGGCCAAATGTTTTCCTCCCAATTTTCTTTTAATTCCAAGTAGTAGAACAGCCTTCATGTCAAATCGTATAATATTGGTAACCATCTGGATGCATGTCACCAGGACACAGATTCAATGGGGAGAGCATGGACAGCAAGTAGGTGTTTCACGACACCGGTACACACTGTCCTTCGCCTTGCCTGCCGAGCTCTGCTCTCCCGCAGTTCTGTTAACGTTACGACAAGGGAAGTATCTGGCAGCTGGCTAGCTAGCTAGCTAATGTAGCCAACCCAACTCTTGTGTGGCACTACTTGGTGGGCGCGGTGTGTTGTCGTTCGTCACTACACGAATATCCCCTCTTGCCACACCCCCTAGTCTGCGGTCTGCAGATAGACCCTACTCCAAGTTTTGGTGACCTGTTTTGGCTCGTGAGCGCTACTTTTAAAACTAATGGGTGAAATTATACAAAACCTTTAACGTATCTTTAAGACTATCGGGAAGCACTGTATCTGCTATCTGCAGTATACCGGCTCTATGGTCATGTCCAGATTCAGTCCTGTATCTTACTTTAAGATCTGAAATGATGGGTGAATCTGCATGGAAACAACCCACTAAAGTGTAAAGCTGAGCTTATTGTATGTAGGGCTGGTTATGAGGTCGTGTTTTGATCTGCTTTGTCACTGTATGGAGCGGCAGACAGATCCGATGTAGGACAATGATTAAAACAGATTTCCACCCAGTTGATCATCGAGAGCAGTATTTAGGTCAAAAACCTACACACACAGACATATGCACGCACACACACAACAGCTGGTGCTCAGCCACCTGACCTTAGACCTCATGGTGACACACACACACACGAAGCAGTCGGTAGAATCTTGTAGTCTACTATGTATACTTTACATGTGTACCATCCTATAGAGAATAATCTATACCTCCACATAACCACCTCTGAGTCTGTATAGTCTGCACAGCCAATCCACTGTTCTATAGTCGCCCATTCATTACAAATGAACTGATGAATAGGGTAACATGTTATTTGGATAGTCCATTTGTATATGTCAACAGCATCGTCTAATGATAGTTTACTGACCATCTACAGATAGGACTATCCAAATAAAGTGTTATCACGAATAGGGATACGCCAGCTAACAGCCAAATGTGACTGCATCACTGATGAGGCTGCATCACTAAACCTAAAGTGAGGTCAGATGCTGTAACAGTGGGCCGCCAGGTGTGATGAGGCTGGCCGATGGCCTACACATAAGAAGGTCCAATATGTCAGTCATCCTCACAGCATGGGAGCTCTCAGAAGGGCTGGATATTGGCAACATCAACCTATTCTCACTAGTCATACAGTGAGGGAAAAAAGTATTTGATCCCCTGCTGATTTTGTAAGTTTGCCCACTGACAAAGAAATGATCAGTCTATAATTTTAATGGTATGTTTATTTGAACAGTGAGAGACAGAATAACAACAAAAAAATCCAGAAAAACGCATGTAAAAATTTTTATAAATTAATTTGCATTTTAATGAGGGAAATAAGTATTTGACCCCCTCTCAATCAGAAAGATTTCTGGCTCCCAGGTGCCTTTTATACAGGTAACGAGCTGAGATTAGGAGCACACTCTTAAAGGGAGTGCTCCTAATCTCAGCTTGTTACCTGTATAAAAGACACCTGTCCACAGAAGCAATCAATCAATCAGATTCCAAACTCTCCACCATGGTCAACACCAAAGAGCTCTCCAAGGATGTCAGGGACAAGATTGTAGACCTACACAAGGCTGGAATGGGCTACAAGACCATCGCCAAACAGCTTGGTGATAAGATGACAACAGTTGGTGCGATTATTCGCAAATGGAAGAAACACAAAAGAACTGTCAATCTCCCTCGGCCTGGGGCTCCATGCAAGATCTCACCTCGTGGAGTTGCAATGATCATGAGAACGGTGAGGAATCAGCCCAGAACTACACGGGAGGATCTTGTCAATGATCTCAAGGCAGCTGGGACCATAGTCACCAAGAAAACTATTGGTAACACACTATGCCGTGAAGGACTGAAATCCTGCAGCGCATATACAGGCCCGTCTGAAGTTTGCCAATGAACATTGAATGATTCAGAGGAGAACTGGGTGAAAGTGTGTGGTCAGATGAGACCAAAATCGAGCTCTTTGGCATCAACTCAACTCGCCGTGTTTGGAGGAGGAGGAATGCTGCCTATGACCCGAAGAACACCATCCCCACCGTCAAACATGGAGGTGGAAACATTATGCTTTGGGGGTGTTTTTCTGCTAAGGGGACAGGACAACTTCACCGCATCAAAGGGACGATGGACGGGGCCATGTACCATCAAATCCTGGTTGAGAACCTCCTTCCCTCAGCCAGGGCATTGAAAATGGGTCGTGGATGGGTATTCCAGCATGACAATGACCCAAAACACACGGCCAAGGCAACAAAGGAGTGGCTCAAGAAGAAGCACATTAAGGTCCAGGAGTGGCCTAGCCAGTCTCCAGACCTTAGTCCCATAGAAAATCTGTGGAGTGAGCTGAAGGTTTGAGTTGCCAAACATCAGGCTCGAAACCTTAATGACTTGGAGAAAATCTGCAAAGAGGAGTGGGACAAAATCCCTCCTGAGATGTGTGCAAACCTGGTGGCCAACTACAAGAAACGTCTGACCTCTGATTGCCAAAAAGGGTTTTGCCACCAAGTACTAAATCATGTTTTGCAGAGGGGTCAAATACTTATTTCCCTCATTAAAATGCAAATCAATTTATAAAATTTTTGACATGCATTTTTCTGGATTTTTTTGTTGTTATTCTGTCTCTCACTGTTCACATAAACCTGCCATTAAAATTATAGACTGATCATGACAAAATCAGCAGGGGATAAATACTTTTTTCCCTCACTGTATATATATATATATATATATATATATATATATATATATAGAGAGAGAGAGAGAGAGAGAGAGAGAGAGAGAGATCACGGGTAGAAATACACTGGGGAAAATGGGCGACACCTGGAGGGAGGTGGAGACAATCACAAAGACAGGTGACACAGATCAGGGTGTGACAGATTATGTAAATCTCTGTCACTCATACGCCCACTCACAATCCTACCCCATCACTCTCCCAGTGACATTAGCTTTAGGATTAAAGACAGACATCATCGCATCCAGGGCAGCAACATCCGAATGATGCAAATGCACACAGTATGGAGAGAGATGTTCTAAAACTAATTATTAAAGAAGAATTGGCTCCATTGCACCATGGAAGCACAATCAAGCCCAGATAAAATATTTGAAATGATTTCAAATAATATTTAAACCCAAGTCTGCGGAAGACACACAGCATCCCAGGTTATAAACCGTAAACAGGATTAACTGATGCCTGTGTCTATGTAAAGAAGATGGAGATTCTGAATGTTCTAATCTGAATCATTAGCGATTTGTCAGTGACACCAATTCCATTCCGTTTGTCCACTGGGAGCCCTTTGGTGCTCAGTGCCAGTCAGTGGACTCTACAACCGCAGCCATTAATTTGGCAGGAGGAATGTCGATATTTATTGTAACCGGCTGGTGCTGGAGAACGATGACCCCTGAACTCTCACTACAGGCTGGATAGTGTGAAGTGGTTTGGGCCATTTCACCTCCCTGGTTTGTGGTACAACCGGGTTCGCTGGGATCTCTACAAGTGTTTAAATAGCTGGTTCAAGTGAGGGAGATAAAGATAGAGTAGATGTTAATTTACAGCATCAATAGTGTTATTACATTGTTGTAGAGAGAGACAGAGAGAGGAAGAGAGAGTGTGTATGTATATTAGTCTTTGTGTGTGCGTTAAGTAGTCTATGTGTGTGTCTTTATGTGTCTGTGTATGTGTGTTTATTAGTCTGTGTGTGTGTCTTTATGTGTCTGTGTGTGTGTTTTATTAGTCTGTGTGTGTGTCTGTGTGTGTCCGTGTAGGGGTTATTGTGCTATAGGGGTCTGATCTGTGCCCTGACTCCCTCTCAGCATCAAGGGACGGACCACAGCTGCTGGCACAGCTGGAGATTTCATCTCGTTCTTCCCATTTAATCTAGCCCCCGACACACTCACCCCATCACCCCATTAACTCACCACCCATCTCACACACTTACCCCATCGCCCCATTAACTTCTACCTCTCATTCTGCACTCAACCCAAACATCCACCTGTCCTGTCACTGTTCTCCCACTCACAAGTTGAGAGAGGGAATGAGAGGAGAGCAAAGCAGGAGGAGAGGAAGTACTGCTGTGGAAATGGACACTGGGTATTATTGGGAAATGGTCGAACTCAGCCTAGCATCTGTCTTCAAGTTCCTCCTTAACCGCACAGTCTATTTGCTGATTGTGTTAAATAGTTGTTTTCTCCTAAAGAGGCAAACGTAACATAATGTAAATGGAAGATGTTTCCTCACTCTTTTTGCTATTTGACTCGGTTTATGCTTGAAGTCCTGCTGTGTGTGTGTCTTCAGTGGAGGCCTTTGCCTTTGGATGGGTGGTTGGGACTTCAGACAAGGATGTGGAAGTGTGTGTTGGATAATATTTCTTCATTCAAGTTTCAGGCTGATGTGTAAGGCCTGTTACTGCCCAGTGAGTTAGTAGGTAGGATAGGGGGGGGGAGTAAAGCTATCAGGTTTTAGGGTGGGTGAGTTGGTCCTCTATATTTTGATGAGGCTGAAGGGGGTCTTCACACTGGGTGAGGATGGGGGGAGTTACTATAGGCCCCCAATCCCCCATATTTGGATAAGAGAGGGTATGTTCTCCAAATTTGGGTAAGTGAGGGAGCAGGGGTATGTAAGTGGCAGTGGATGAGGTTGGATGGAATGGGGGATGTGTTGGGATTTTCACAGCTCTCTGTAGCCAGGAGAGAGAGAGGCATAGAGTTAATCCTCTTCTAGCTTCACTCCAACACACATAACAGACTCACTCACTCACTCACACACACACACACACACACTGGGGGGGTGGGGGGATGTTGTAGTAGATCAGTGTGTCAGTGAGGCAGTAATCCTGCTTGGCCGCTGTGCTTCTCTGGTTTGGCAGATGGCACGGATATCCCTGTCCGCCATCTGGACAGCCTGGTATGGGTGTGTGAGATACAGCCCTGCCCCGCGCCACACAGTACAGCCCTGGAGATTACTGTCAGCTCCACCATCATAGCAGCGGAGCTATTTATATGAACATGTCACAAAACCAGAGTGGGCCCATGTCATATGGTGATACAAGCCTAGTTTTATTTGGGGAGATGTTGGAGTGTGTACTAGCCTGGTCCCAGATCTGTTTGTGCTGTCTTGTCTCCTATGGTCATTGTTGACCAGAGAGCACAAACAGATCTGGGACCAGGCTAGGGGTGTACTGTATATGGGCTGAATTGTGTGTAGGCTAGATGCTAGATGATGTACGTGTGGATTAGAATATGTATGGGCCAGGATTATTTAGATGTGGACATGATTGTGTGCCGTGTATTTGTTATTGAATACATAGTGGTTGCGTGATGCTCTTTTCACCATGGCATGCTATTCCTACTGGTTGTTTTGTGTTTTATTACATTGTAATTGTGGAGTGAGTCTTGAATGACCACAATCGTTACAGCGGTCTGTCCGTCCGTCTGCCTGTCTATCTGTCTGCCTGCCAGCCTGTCATGGCTGTGGTGGCTCTGAGTTCCCATGTGCTTTCAGGAGCATTAACCTCAGGGCCTTTGGTAACCTGCGGTCACCCCCTAAACCCCCAAATGAATGTTTCCAATAATTATTATTACTACAGAGAATGGAATGTACTTAGTATTTTATTCGGATTCCCATTAGCTACTGCTAAAGCAGCAGCTACTCTTCCTGGGGTCCATACAGAACATAAAACATGACATAATACATAACATTAATAGACAAGTACATCACAAGGACAGAACTACTTAAACGCTTTCATACATTTATGCCTTCATAATCATGTGATTCCTAGACGCTACTGAATGCAAATGCAACACACGAAAACGAAAATGCAATAACAAGGAAGTACGTTGCAAATAGGCTGACACTTTTTGCTAAATTCTTCTGATGTGAATAAAGCTACCTTGTTTCTATAGTTGGGTGATTCTGCAACTACGGGCACTTCTATGTGCTCGGGGTACATTTTTTGGGATTTTATAAAAAAATATATTTTTTAATTCTTTATATGCTAAGTTCACCCCACACATTTTAACACCTCTCTATCAAGTATTTTATCTACTTTCCAGATGCATTCTATACCTCAATTTCACTGTTTTTCCCTTGTCCCTGACCCAGACTTTTGAGCATCTACTATGTTTTTCTATGAGAAAACATTAATAATTACACATTATATAATGTTATCTACTAGAGAAAGAGTCAATTAAATAAAATCTATGTCTATATTTATTGTGAGTATGCCCTTTTATATTGTTTTTTACACAAAATATACCTGTCCTTTGGTAGTGGTGTCCTTTCCACCACTGAGGACAAATTCCTCATTAATAACGTTTTTTCAAGAGAATGTTAATTGAGTTACCATGGAAACTTATTTTGACACTGAAGCACATGGCTGCAGCGGACAGTTGTTCCAGATGTGATGTCCAGAAGTTGAAGAAAAGTCTAGGTAAATATTGCTTGTCTAGAGAATATTTTTATTGTCAGTCATTTCCGAACAGGCTATCATTTCTTTAATTTGTGGTATTTTATGTATTTAGTGTAAACTATATGCTAGCTGTAATACTAGCCAAAGCATGCTAAGCAGCCTGTCATTTTTCTCCAAAAACTGTAGAAGCGTAATTTCCATCACAGTTATTTCCCTCAAAAACGTAACTGTGGCGGAAATAACAGAACGTGGTGGAAATGACAAAAATACATTATGTTATTATTATTTTATTTTAACTTTAGGCTTATTTAATCAGGTTTTAAATTCATGTAATCTAGAAAATGCTCCAAGGTGTGCGTGCACAAGTTGAAAACTAAGTAGTATTTTTCTTTGTTTCTAGAAGATGCCACATAAATCATCACAGTCACAGACATGGAAAAAAAAATCCTAACAATACCACGAACATCTGCAAGAAGACAGGGAGAGATACTTAAAAGAAAAATAGAAGTGAAATCTATCTCTGAGCTTACAAAGTGAGAACGAAGAAGCAAGAGAAGGCAATGGAAATGCAACCGACGGAATAGAAGACAGACTTTAAAGAGAACAGTTGCAATGGAGACCTACCTATCAGGCAACCCACCATCTCAGTCACTAGATGACTTGCTGCCAGAACATGAGGCCAACATACCTGCCCCTACCTTATCTGCCCCTGATGCACACCCTGATACCCCTTCCTCATCGTCTGCAACAGGAATGAGAAGTCAAATACTTGCTGGAAGGAAAAAGGTTGGAAGAGGACGCTCAAAAACATACAGAGATATTTGCATGACAAATGTCAAACTTGATAAAGCTTTATGGAAAGCTGAGAAATGCAAAAAAAGGTATGATCGACTGATGAAGAAAATGGAGAGACAAGATTCTCCAAAGACAAAACAGCAAATGAAGGGAACTCCGAAGAACTTGTATTGAATTGTATTGTTTCAAAATGCCATCATTACAGAGTTAAAGCAAAAGTATCAAAAAATGCACAGTGCCAAGGACAAACAAGTGGCTTCAAAAATGCTCAGAGGCAACATCCTGAGAAAGTTTGAGGGAATACTCAGAGATTAAAATCTCCTATGAATTCTGCAAAAGACGTCCTTTTTGGGTTGTCAAGCCAACAGTCCAGTATAAGGACAAATGCCTCTGCAAAACCCACGCTAACCTCCAGTTCATGGCGGACAAACTACAGTGTCACAAAGTGATCAGCTACAGCAACATTGAGAACCTTATAGAGTCTTTGTGCTGTGAGAACCTAAATAAAGAGTGCATGTACAGAGAGTGCTCCTTTTGCCAAGCAAAAGAGCTTAAACATCTGACTTTGATGCTGGTGAGCAGACATGGTGGTTTGAATGGAAAAACTAAGCTGAAGAGAGAGAGAAGAAAAACAAAAAGAGGGAAACATGGAGAAGAAGTTCACTGTACATTTGACAGTAAAAGAAAAGGTGTGTGGCACACTGCAGATTCTCCTGGAGGACTTCTCCAAAAGATTGAAAGAGAAGTTGGGGAAACACGTGTACAACATTCGACACCAATACTCCAAACTGAGAGAATTAAAAGAGAATCTGTGGAAAGTGGAGATCATTGTGCATATTGACTTTGCAGAGAACTACCTGTGTAAATACACCAGTGAAATACAGGCAGTTCACTTTGGTGATTCTCACAAGCAGGTGACCCTCCACACCTGTGTTGGATATACCACAAATAATACAGTTTCACTTTGCTGACTGAGCTCTTCTATGTGGCATGACCCCTCTGCTATCTGGGCCAATCTCTCAAAAACGCTGGCTTACTTCCTTGAGCTCTGCCCATCGGCTACTTTTGGAATCTTACTTTGTCTAATATGAATTAAATGTTTAACAAGGGTTGTTGTTCAAATGTTTGCAATAAAATATTTGTTCCTGTTTTTTTTTTTATTACATGATTTCCACCACACCTTGTCATTTCCACCACACCCATATTTTTTAGATAAGTGAGTATATTATGTATAATTTACATTGATGGGTTTGTTTTAGATAGGGAAGTCATATCTTAAAAAACTTTATATTTATATATATTAGGAAACCTTAAAAATCACTTAAAATAATATTCAATACAAGTTAATGTAGAAATGTATAAGAAATGTGTTATAAATAAATTGTATGATATTTCATTTTCAACTAAAATTGATGTTTAATGACGTGATGGAAATTACATTTGTCTGTGGCTGTCTGGGATAAAATGAATATATACATTCCTGAATAGTATGATCACAGCCATTATCAGATATTGTTTCTAGACAAATCAAAGGAAATTATAATACTGGTAAAATGGCTTGCAGGGCCAAAGTTCCCGAAGTTGCAGAATCACCCAGTTACTGCCCGTAATGATTTTCCTGGGGTAAAGTATAGACTTTTTACAGTTACCACCTGCAATCGGTTTCCTGGGGTAACATGTCATCTCTTATAGGTGTAGGCCTTTTGTGGCAGATTACCACCCGCTATGGGTTTCCTGGGGTAACATGTCAATCTTAATAGGTTGTAGGCCTTTTGTGCAGTTAACACCGCATGGGTTTTCATGGGGTTAACCATGTCATCTCTTATAGGTGTCGGCCTTTGTTGCAGTTAACACCGCTATGGGTTTCATTAGTGAAAATGCAACATTCATGAACATGCATAAATAACCAGGACAGTGTTCTACTTACATCCTTCACTCAGTTCCAATCGAAATGGAACTTTCTCATACCAGGGGACTTCCCGTAGCCCTTTCTCTGGCAGTTCCAATTACCCTAGTGGCCTCATTGGGATGGAAGTTTTATATTTATTTTTCATAATTTCATAATTAATAAACATTAAAAACCCGCCGAAAATCCGGTTTTGTTATATTTCAGTCTTCTGTGATGTATATAAAGTGTAATATTGGGATGCAAACTCAAAATGTAATAGATTTCAACTCTATATCTGACATGGTCCAGGTGTCTTATTTTTGTTAAACCCATAACCATGTGTGTGAGGTGTATACTTTCGTTTCAAAGTAGATTTGTTTAAGACTACCAAGAAACATTCTGTGTGACCCTGATTTAGCCCACTGCAGTAAAAGGTTAACATCCTTCATCCCCATTCAACTCATAAAATAAAATGAACTAAACTATCAGACATACAGGCTTCACTTTGCATCCTTCACCCCTGCTCATAAACATTAGCTAAATTCCTTGAATCTTGAGGAACGGAGGGAAGGAGAGAATAATATGAGAGAAAGAGAGAAAAACAAGTATCTTGGCTCTGTGTAAGGAACACTCTGCAGGCAAATACCAAGCTTAGAAGACAAACATTAGAGTTGAGGAGAACACTGTGTTCAGCTATATCCTGTAAGGACCCGGGTGGAGGGGAGCAAGGGATACGAGGAGGGGAAAACAGAAGGAGAGAGGAAGAGGGACCGAGATAAAGGAATGCAAACTAAGGCAATGAGGGAGGGAGTGAGTGACAGAATAAAGATACGGTTGGGATCATGGAAGGAGGTAGGTTGAGAAAAAGTGGAGTTTTCCATGGAGCTAAGACAGTGTTTCCCAAATGGTTTA